AAGGCATGCAGCCTTCAATATAGATTGCATCTCAATGTCAAGAAAACAAAGACCAATCACTTGACCAATAGGCAACATCCTGGTAGATGGAGAAGAGACTGAAACTGTCAACACTCATCTTACTTGACTCCACAATTAACATCCTTGGTACATGCAGTCAGGAAATAAGGAGACATATTGCACTGGGAAAGTCTGCTGTTAGGGATCTCTCCAAATTAATGAGGAGTAAGGATGTCCGTTTGAGGACTTAGGTACGTCTGATTCAGGCCATGGGCTTTCTGATCACTTTCTGTCAGTCTGAGAGCTGGACTATGACTAGGGATGATAGAATTGATGCCTTTGAGTTGTGGTGTTAAAGCAGAGCACTGAACATCCCATGGTCAGCCAAAAGAACAAACAGATGTGTCTTGGACAGGGTGCAGTCAGAGTGTTCTTTTGAGGCAAGTATTACAAAGCTTTGCCTCACATACTTTGGGCATGTTCCGAGGAGAGGCTATTCCTTGGAGAGGGACAAGATGCTTGAAAGGGTGGGAGGTTGAGAAAAGAGAGGAAGACCCTCAACCAGATGGACTGACATGGTGACTGCTACAATGGGTTCTAGGAACTGTGACGATAACACAGGATAGGACGGGGTTCAGATCCGCTGCTCATAGGGTCAATCAGTATGAATCATCCTTGACTCAACAGGTCCTAACAAGTTCAGCTTCTCAAATTATTTTCTCAGCACACAGACTGAATATTGTTATTCTGGAAACAATGTATATTAATTTTATAAGTAAACTAGTATAATTTTTTTTAAATTATTGAAAAAAAATGTTTCCATGATGATCACAACCTTGACTGAATATGTTGTTGTTGATTGCCTTCGAGTCGAGCACTCACAGTGACCCTATGAACAAAAGGCCTGAAGCCCTTCTATAACTATTGATATTTATCAACGTTCATAGTTTCCGGAGGCATGTTGTTTAGGAAGTGGATAGGGAAAGGAAATAACTTTGACGCACCTCTTTCCTGATTTTAAACCTGCTTTGTTCGGATGCCTGCCTCCTGATGATAAAGGTATCTCGTGAGCACAATTCAGCGTTCTGGAATCCCCATTCTTCATAACGTTATCGGTAATCTGTCATGATCCATACAGTTGAATACTTTTACTCAGTCAATATAACACACGTAAATAAATCTTTCCAGTGTTCTCTGCTTTCGGTCAAAATTCATCTAATATTAGCAATGACACCCTTCACTCCACATTCTCTCTGACACACTGATAGGTGCATTTTCTATTTATTTACACGATGAACAGTTGTTAGTTACTGTTGAGTCAGCTCTGATTCAAGACAAGCCTGTAGACCACAAAGCCTCGCCCAGTCCTGCATCATCTTCACAATTGTTGGAAGTGTTCACAATGTTGTAGCCATGGGAATGCTGAGTGCCCTGCAGCCTAGGGGGTCACCTTTCAGTCCTATGTTCACAATATGTGCTGTAACCATAAGGCCATCTGTCAGTCTCTCTACTATGGTGGTTTGCATGTTACTATGACGCTGGAAGCGGTGTCCCCGGTATTTCAAAGGGTCATCAATCCATCATGAACCGGTTTCAGTGGAGTTTCTACACCAAGATAGACTAAGAAGCAAGAGTGACCACCTTCTTCTTAAACAACGAACCCTATGGACAATGGAGACTATGGTTGAATACAGTGCCAACAGGCGAAGCTCTCAGGCTGGAAGGGACCTGAAATGCTGCTGGGGAAGAGATGCCTCCTCAAAGCAGAGTCCACTTTAATAACATGGATGGAGTAAACCTTTCACTCATTGAAGGAACTGCATTTGCTGACATGGCATGAGCCAAAGTGAGGAGAAACAGCTGTAAACATCCATTAACACTCTCAAGAAGATGAAATGATACAGTGATCATACAATGGGCTTGAACAAAGCTGAGGTCACTCATGATGATGGCGCAGAATAGGACGAGGTTCTGCTCTGTTGTTCACACTGTCACTATTGAGTCATGGTCAACTCAACAGAACCTGACAATAATCTACAGGATGATTTGCAGAAGCATACTGTTTAGTCATTCTTAGTCTTAAAGCTCTGTTGAAGCCTGCCTACCACCAGTGAGCCTTGTGGTATTTGAAGTACCAATGTCAGAGCTTTCAGCATTACAGCTGGTAGATTTATGTTAACTATGTTGTTGATGTTGTTGTTGTGTGTCATCCTGTCAAGAACAACTCATAGTGATTCTATGAGCAAAAGATGTGAATTCAGCCTTACCCTATAAACTCTCATCATCTCTGACATGCTTGAGCCCATTGCTGCAGTCACTGCATCAGTCCGTTTTGTTAAGTCTCCTCCTCCTTCCCTGACCTTTCCAAGCATCATGTCTCTTTCCAAGGGGCAGCCTCTCCTAGTAACATGTCCAAAGTGAGAAGAAGCTTCACCATCCTTGTCTCTAAGGAATGCTCTAGCTGCACTTTCTCCAAAACAAAAGACATCTGGTTGTTCTTTTGGCAGTCCATGGGACACTCGGCACTCTCCTCCAACAGCGTAACTCAAAGATGTGAGCAGGTGACTGTGTACGCAGAGCTCTAAAGACGCAGTAAGAAACAAAAACAACACGGCAGGTCTCACGCTGATTCAGAGTGAAGAAACTGAAAGGCAACCAAGGGACATAATAATAATGTAACAGCTCTCCTCCAGGCTGTTCGTGAAAGAAAAACTTCTCCTATGCATTCTTCCCAAAAACACTGGCCAATTCCATTATAGAAGAGAACTGGGAATAAGAGAATTTTAGTAAAAAATGACAAACTAGAAAACTCCACTAGGCAGCTCTGCTGTGTCACACGGAGTTGCTTTGAGTTGAGGAGAGAGTTCTCTGGGCACCTAACAGCACAACAGACAAGTGATGAAAAAGGCAAAGACAATCCAGTGAATTTTTCACCCAGTAGTCAACAGATCAAGGACTGGAGAGGTTTTCCCCCAAGGGGGAGAAAGACAAGGATTAACCCCTGGGTTACTACCATTCTTTGTATTTATTTTTTTAATTGGTTTGCTTACAAAATTCATATATATACAACCATTCTTACTTCCTTTAAGGCCGCTGTATTTGTTGAACCCCCTCAGCCAAACCCACTCTCAACAAAATGAGGTTATTTCTTCTTTAGTCTGATGTGTTCTCCCAACTAAATGCCAAGAAACCACAGAAAATGGCCTCAGGGAAGGCAGACTAGGAATTTCTGACTAACTCGGTAAAGACTCATGAACGGTTGACTGCAGGCATGCCAGCACGTGCGGTGGGGTTTCCCGAGACACACAGCATCTAAACGCAAGCGCAAGAGCTAATTTCCAGGTATCCGTGCAGAAATCCAGGGAGCCTGGGTTCTTTCTTTTCTGTTCTTCTTTATGTTTGATGTACTACAGAACTTCAATAGATAGCATGATCTAAATGTATTTTCAAAATAGACCAAAAAACATGGGACGCAGAGTAACAACATTCAGTTCTACACACAAGGCACCATGTCCTTCAACATCCACATCCAGGGCTGAATTTCTGTGTGAACCAGCGTCCGGTTCTCCCATCTCCCTGGGCGATATGCCCTCATATGGGTTCAGTTGTGCCTCTGCCAAATACATGTTCATTCTCTAAGCTTCACATTTGTGGAAAGAGGCCTGGTGATGTTGCAGGCAAATGAATTCAAGTGTTCAAAGGTTGACTGCTCAAACCCACCAGTCACTCACTGAGGAAAAGGTTACTCAGTCTGCACTGTAAAATTTTACAAAAATGTTACACACACACACACATAATGAGGCAGCTCAATTCTATCCTGCACGGTCACTGTGAGTCAGAATCAATTCAATGGCATTGCATTTTGTGGTTTTGTATGTATGGATGTAATCCTGTTTGGAAATTGGGATTTATCTCATGTTCTATAGATGAGGTTACATCCAAATAGAGAGGAGGGCTTCTAAACCTAATTAGTAATAAGTGATAAGTGATAAAGGACCAGGGAGGGGAGACATAATCAAACCCTCTCTCTCTCCCTCTCTCTCTCTCTCTCTCTCTCTCTCACACACACACACACACACACACACACACACATGGAGTGTGTGGAAGCAGATATTATCTGAGGATCACCTACACATCAAGGAATGCATGCCAAAAGGTTAAGGACCAACAAGGATGGAATCAACACAGCTGCATTTGAACAGTCTCTAGAGCTGTGAGAAAAATCAATTTCTGGGTTTTGTTTTGTTGTTTTTTTTTTATTATTATTTTATACTGGTTTATTTACAAAGTTCAAATACATTGTTTCTCACACTGGATCTTTCCCTGACCTCAAAACCTATACAGGAATATACTAGTATAGAGCAGTAGTAACCAAATCAGCATAGTACTGGTAAAATAACAGACACATAGACCAATGGAACAGAATTGAGAACTCAGAAACAGATCCAGCTATCTATGGTCAACTGATACTCCACGAGGAAATAAAACCTATCAAATAGGGAAATGACAACCTCTTCAACAAATGGTGCTGGCAAATCTGGACTGCTACCTGCAGAAAGCTGAAACAGGATCCACATCTCACACCATACACAAATATTACCTCAAGGTTGATGAGAGACCTGGGAATAAAGCCTAAAAGCAATTTCTGGTTCTTAAAGCTGCTCACCTGTGGTATTTCTGTTAAAGCTTGGAAATTAAGATCGTCTCTGTCCACTGGACTATTTCCATTTCCTGGTTCTAAACTATTACTTCAAAACTTCTAAAGAAGCAGCTTCCCTGTTTCAGTCACTCTCACCCTGAAATCTATTAAGAACTTGTCTAGTAAGACCTGCCTCTGTAACCTGGGCCCTCTGACAGGCACTACTGCACTCAGAGAGAGAGATTAGGCACCACTTCCTCAATGTGCTGTGTTTTACGAGTACAGTTTTACAGATAAGCAACTTGCCTATTTCCTCCTAGAAACTGAAATAATGAAAACAAGAAAAAATGTAGTACAATACCTGAACCTCTTCAAAAATAGTAGCTTGTTCCTGGTTAGTCAGCACTGTCAGATGCTTCTGGAGCTCTAGCTTTGTTTTGGAAGCACTCATTCCTATTAAAAACAAAGAACAAAAGGGAGGTATGAAAATGTTCCATGGAAAAGTCAGGAGGTGGAGCTAACACCTTCCATACACGGCCTCTAACCCGCCTGACCTCTTGCACGACACAGCATCTCAACTCACTTCAGGCTAGCAGATTTTATGGAAATTATGGTCAAAAACAATGATGATGTAGCTTATTTCTGTTTTTAACCAAACTTTTGTATTAGGAGGCATTAGCCACCGCTATCAAGGCAATCCTGATTCAAAAGCAACCTTCCAATGAATTTTTCCCTTCCCCTTCTTAAATGTTATTTTATTGGGGTTTCTTTACACTATTTTTATTCCTATACACAATATTTCTCACATTTCTTCACATTGTTTCATATAATCATTTTCATATATTGTGTCTTATAATAAATCACCAGTAATCTATGCCCACTATTACCTCATCTTTTTTAGATCCCCACTGGATCTTTACTAAGTCCTTTATCCCATCCTTCTGCCCACCAAAATCTACGACGTTGTGACTTCCCCTCTCCCCTACCCCCAGCTTCCCTGCCCCCTCACTTTCCCTCTTTGGACATTTACATACATCTTACTAATTATCCATCTGTTTTTACAATAATGGTCTTACACAGTATTTGTCCTTTTGATACTGAGTTAGTTCATTCAGCATAAGGCTCTCCAGCCTCTCCCATGTTACAAAGCATTTTTCTAAATCGTTGTTCCTTAGTGCTGCATAGTATTCCATTCGTGAATGTCCCACAATTTTTCAGTCCATTCATTTGTGATGGACATGTGAGCTGTTTCTGTGTTTTTGTGAATATGCTGCTATAAACATCAGTGTACAAATCTCTGCCTATGTCTCAAGTTCTATTTTCCTTGGTATATATTTCTAGCCATGGAATAGTTGAGGCATATGGCTTTTTCAGAAAATGCTGAAGTGCCTTCCAGGGTGGCTGTACCATTTTACCATCTCACTAGCAGTGCATGAGAATTCCAATCTCTCCATATCCTCTGCAACATTTATTACTTGTTATCCTGTTTAACTTTGCCACTGCTACCCCTCCAGTGAATTTCGAGGCTGTACATTTCTATAGGAGACTGCCCACTGTTCTCTCGCAGGGCCACTGGTGGTTTCCAACCACCAACCTTTCATTTAGCAGCCTTGTGTATCACCATCATGCCAGAAGTCCTGCTTGTATAAAGGATTGAAAATAAAACACCTCAAAAACCTCACTGCTGTTCAGTTAGAACCAACTCAGCCAATCCTTCAGTGGTTTTCCAAAGGCTGTACTCTGTTCTTGGGGAGGAGACTACCTGACTGTACTGATTTACATAATTCTTAAAAAATCCTGATAAAATTGGTTCTATTATCTCCATTTTATAGTTAAGGAAACTGATATCCAGAGAGCTTAATTTCTAACTTAGGTTTTTCCACTAACTTGGACTCTATGTTTGTTTGAGTCCAACATGTTTTCTTTACCATCATCTACATTTAAACACCTCACACGAGAAGGATGTCCTCAGAAAATCATAAGTTGTCATGGAGTCTTTATGATAAACATTTTCTTTAGGAAAAATCAATTCTTTAGGAGAAATGATTTCTTTAGGAAAAACTACTAATGAGTTTACAATCTGACTTGTTCTCTTTAATGCATGTAAGGTTTTATTCACATAAAACAGACTCATTCCACTAATAAGCTTTCCTTTACATCCACATGTGTGCCACTTTTTAAGACCATAAAATTAACATTACAGAGGAGTTTTGAGAAAAAGTTGAAAGAATAAAGTCACGATGTCAAACTTTCAATGGCTGTTGTACTATGATATATGGAAAAAGTTCCTATCCTACAAAACTAAGCAATGTTATGATAAAAAGAGAAAAGGCTGGAGTTGGCGTGGATTTTGTTTTACTTGGATCCTCCGTCAGTGCCCACGCTGCCAGCTGTCAAATCCAGTCTGTTGTAAAGGGCACCTTAAAGCTCTAAAGAGCAAAGATGTCACGCTGAAGACTGAAATGTGCCTGACCCAAGTCCTGGTGTTTCAAACTTCCTTATATGCATGTAAACGCTCAACAGCAAATAAGAACAAAGAAGAATTCATGCCTTTCATTTATAATGTTAGGGAGGAACACTGACTATACCATGGACTACCAGAACAAACACGTCTGTCTTAGAAGTGCAGCCAGAGTGCTCTTTGGAAGTAAGCAAGCCTCAAATGCTGTGGCCATGTATCAGCAGGGGCTGGTTCCAGGAGGAGCTTATCATGCTTAATAAAGAAGGAGGTCAGTGAAAAAGAAGATGTCTCAGTGAGACGGACCGATGCAGTGGCCACAACAAGGGGTTCAAACACAGACACAATTATGAAAACAGAGCATGACTGAGGAATCTTTCATTCTATTGCACAGAGAGGACCACTGGGACTTAACAGCACCTAACAACATAGCCTTGCATGTTATCTCATTTGGAAACAGAGTTGTTTTCTTTGCTGTCTTAACGAAGATATGTCAGTCTGCAGAGTGGGTCCTGTTGTACCAGAGACTCGGAACCAACCCATAGCAGACCTGCCAGCAGATTGCAGAGGTAGTTAATCACAATGGAGACTGGCCATCTTCTGCCATGGAGCAGCTGGTGACCTCGAACAGTGTGACTTCAGGACTGCATCATAGCTTCTTACCACTAGGCCACCACAGCTCAGTGTGTGTCCTAAACCTAGTAATTTCTAAGTTGACAAAAAAAGGCAAATAAGACATAAAATTAGAGACATATGAGGAGAGGTGGATGCTATGAGAAGACAAAGGAGGCAGATGGATCTACAAGCCTGGGCACCCCAAGAAGTGCTGGCCACTAGAAGCTGTTGCTCTGCGACACATTTCATCAGGACTCTTAGCCTCCTGAACAGTAAGTCCACAAACTTCAGTTCATTATAGACACCCACCTGGGGTATTTCCAACTGCTTTATACGCATGCAAAAGCTCAACAACAAACAAGAAGATCAAAGAAGAATTGCTGTCTTTCATTTATAAGAATACTGAATATGCCCTGGACTACTAGAAAGAACTAACAAATCCATCGTAGGAGGGCAGCCAGAGGGCTAGCATAGCACTTAGTGATAGCAGCACTAAAGAGTAGGACATTTTGCACCCAGAGGCTAACATCACACGTGAGGAGTAGTCTAATAACAGAAGCGCGGCCTGGCCCCACCACCAGGGATATTGCATCCAGTACTTTTGGTCCAAGGATCGTCCTCACAGGTGGTCATTTGTCAAATGTCTTTTTCTTGTCCCCACGGGTGAGACACTGGGCTGGAGTTTGATCAAAGTTCAGACTGTTACCTGAAGAAAAGCACAGAATGGCCAAGAATGGCCGGAAGAACACTCACAGGTGGAAAAGAGAACTGCGGAGACTGGGACAGAAGAACCCAAGGAAAACCTGGCCAGAGCCAGTGACGTAACCATGGAACAAACAGGAACCTCCAGATCAGGACTCTGATTTTATAGATGAGTTTGGTGACTTCTAGAGAGGGGAGTCAATCCATTTCATTGACTGACGGATTGACTCAGGGACTGGAGAAAGGAGATGACGTCTGTCCGAGACGATGAGATTGGTTCAGGATAGGGAAGGCTTCAGAGCTATTGTGTATGGGGTGGCTATGAATTGCAGGCAATATGACAGCACATAACAACAACACTAGAGGGGGGACACGGAACCTTGGGATGGAACAGTTCAAATGCTAAAGGTCAGCGGCTCTAGCCTATGAGCAACACTCTCATGCAATTTACAGTCTCAAAAGCCATGTTCCAGAGGGTCCAGACTTGATGGCAATGAGTGAAGTTTATCTTTAGTCAGACACTCACATGTTGAGCATGGGAACCAAAGGTCTCAGAACTGGCTGCCAACCCAGAGGAAGGTGATCTGAATCCACTAGGTTCCACAGAAGAAAGATGGGCAATCTCCTCCTGTGCAAGTTATAGCCTCTCAAGACCCTCTGGATGGTCAACAATGAGTCAGTTCAGACTGGACAGCACATAACAAAAACAACAGTAACACACACTTTCAACAGTCTTCAGTGAAGCAGGGAAACACCGATGACTCTTTCACACTCAGCAGCTGTGAATAAACCCCCTGGCCTTTCTTCAGCTTCTGGGATGCCTCAAGCTGTAAGGTCTTTCTTGCCTCATCTCAAAAGAGGAGTGGCCCACCTGGGTCAATATGCTCACCCTTCACTCTTTGACCTTTCTCACAATGTGGCTTCTGACCATCACCAGGTCTCTGCAGCAAGGCTCCTCCATACTGAAGGCACCCACCCAGCGGACCCCACGTGGTGTCAATGGGGCTGATGAGGAGAAAGGGAGGCCAGGTGCACAGCAGAAAAGGATATTCAGAGCCAAGGGGATTCCCACATGACAAGGGATTCCATCTGCTGTCCAGAGGCTGAAACACACTCTTCCTAGAGTGAGCACTGAGGAGCTCTGTCTTCCTGAAGGAAATTTTTTTCTGAGAGCAAAAGGAAAGTAAGAGCAACCATTTATTCCGTCTGGTCAAAATAGAATTCATCCTAAGAGTTCTCAAAATGGTCCTCTAGACTAAGTTAAGCAAAAGACCATATAAATACTACCCATTATTTGCTTTGCATCAGAAAGATGAACAATGACTAAGGAAGACAGAAGAGCTACTGATGCCTTTGAGTTGTGGTGGTGGAGAAGAGTCTTGAACATACCACAGACTGCCAAGAAAACAAATCGGTATGTCCTGGAGAGGATGAAACCAAGTTTCTCCTTGGAGGCAAGGATTTTGAAGCTCTGTCTCACATACTTTGGGTACATGGCCAGGAGGGACGGGTCCTTGGAGAAGGATATCATTCTCAAAAGGGTGGAAAGACAGCACAGGAGAGGAAAACCCCAGATGAGATGGATTGATACAGTAACTGGGGCAATGAGGGATGTTGGACAGGATCAGTGAGACCGGTTCTGGACAGGGCAGGCTTCAGAACTGCTTTGGATCGCTATGGGTCACAGGTGACTCGACAACACATAACAACAACATTAGGGAGCTGTGGTCGCCTAGTGGTAGGAACTGCACTGCCAACCCAAAGGTGGACGTTCTTCTTGTTGTTATGTGCCGTCAAGCAGCCTGTGACTCTGTACAACAGCGTAAGGTTCGAATCCACCAGCTGCTCCACAGGAAAAGATGAGCAATTTCTCGTCATCCGATTTTCAGCCTCTGCAAACTCACTGGAGGGACAGCTATGAGTGCGCTCCAACTTGACGGCACATAACAGCATCACCAGAGCTAGCAGTTTATTTCAAATACTGACTCGAACAAAAGCACACTTTTTTCATGTTGCCAGCTCAGTTTCAGAAGGAGCAAATCATCCAGCATTTATCATTGTGGAAAGAAGTTTTACTCTAGCTTACAGATGTCAAGGTACAATTGCTGAATTCCTACTCAGACCCTAATTTCCTGTCAGGATTGCTTCAATGAGAACAGAGTGAGTTTTAATAAGCCACTTTAGTCTCCACACTAGGAGTGCAACACAGCAAAAGACAAGGGCTGCTTCAAAAACTGCACAAAGAATAGCAATTAGCACCTGTATTGCAAAGGCCTCACTAGGTGACATCTATGCTTCTGGAGCCCAGGTGGCTTGGTGGAGGAAAGTAGCTAACTGAAAGGCTGGGAGTTCAAATCTGCAACTGGCTCCATGGGAAGAAGATGGGTTGTTTCCTCCCCTTTAAAGATTTACAACCTTGGAAAGATAACAGAGGGTGGCTCTGAAGTGGAATCAACTTGACAGCTCCGCTTTTAGAAATATCTGCCATCATGTGGGCAAAGATATCCTGCCTGATGGCTCAAACAAACAAGTGGATAATAAATTACCAAGGGAAAAAATTACAGTAGCAAAACGCCTGATGAGACAACCGAGCCAGGGTATTCTGAAGGCTCACCCAGACCCCGGCGAGGAACCCCTGGCCTTGCAGCGTCTGCAGAGGAGAATCTGCTGCATCATCAAGGCCACGGTCAAGGCTGACTCCTTAATAAGTTCTTAAGGGACGCTTCCATCATCATTTAGCTTATCTTAACAACCTCTGAAAAGGAGTAATGACCATCTCAGTGGCGATCTCCAGTTAAATCAAAACTCTTCTTCTTTCCAGTGCTATTTTGTGTGATGTCAGCAAACAGTCCCCAGTTGGAAATCAAAGTTAGAAAGTCCTGAACATTCTGACTGGTGTGAAAGGGGAGTGGAACACCAGCGGCTGAACCTTCCCAGACCATGAGAGGACAGAAAACAGGCCAGTTCATTTAAAAAAAGGAAAAGGAGATCGAAATATTTCTCTATATAGCTTTAGACTAATAAATAATTGAGAAATGTAAAGGTTGTAGACAGGCTTCAGGCCTTTTGTCAATAGGGTCACTATGAGTCGTGCTCGAAGTGAAGGCGATTAACAACAACAGGAACAACAACTGTAGATCATGAGATGTCCATTACCTTCTCAAGATCATGAAAAAGAAAAAAAAGACCAGCAGCATCAGCTTTAGAAATTCTCCCACAAATGGAAATGCAAAAAATGACACACAAAGCTCTTGGTCGCTGGCCCCTAGTTTTGAGCCTGTTAGTCTCAAACCTGCCTCCTTGCCTGGGTTCGGTCCTTTCTCTCAGTCCTCCTCCGAAGATGCAGAGAAAGGCAATCTCTCTCTTGCTATTGATCTCTCATGCTCAGGAGAAACGCTGAAGTTGCTCAAACCTCTTCAATGCTTGGAAATGGGATAACATTGGACTTCTTGAGTTCTCCCCCAATACAACCTTCTCTTGGGAACCTATGTTCAGTATGGGGGTTCTGTTTCCCATTCATGGAAACCTTGGAGGAGAGAACTGTACCCTGAGGTTGTCATTGGCTCTGTGACCTTTTGAAAGCAGACTGCCAGATCTTTCTACCAAGGTGCCTTTAAACGGGTCTGAATCACCAACCTTTTGGTTAGAAGCCAAGCACTGTTTGGTAGCAGGGAACCGCTGGAGGCATTATCATCTGAGGCTGAATCCTGGGCTCAGCAGAGACTAGTTTATTTCTACATTTCTTTGCTTATCAGTTAACTCTAGAAAATCTAGAAAATGTGCTATAAAAGCAGAATCCTTTCCTCCCAGAAATGCGGTGAAGAACACATTAATGAGTTAACAGGCATAAAAGAAAGCCCTGAGCATAACACTTGGAACATTTTAAGCCTTGAATAACTATTTATTAGGTGCCAATCATAATGTTTCACAATGTTGTCTTTCTGAATCATAGGAAGCTCTGGTGACCTAGCAGGTAAGGAATTGCACTGCCAACCCAAAGGTCTGGCTGCCTAGCCCCTGAAGAATCATGCTGCCAACACGTTCAGCTACTCGTGAATCCATGAACAGCTCTGCGGAGAAAGATGCATAATCTCCTTCCATGCAATTTACAGCCACTGGAGGGTCAGCTATGAGGCGGTTCTGAATCAGCAGCCACGAGCAAGAGATTGATTACTAAACCAAATTTCTAGAGACCAAAGTCAAAAGCCACAGCATTTCTGTCACTCTGGTCATCTGTCCCTCAACTGCAATCTGTCTCCTATCCCTTCAGTCCTTTGAAATGTTGACAGAGGTCACTGATGACCCCCTATGTGAGAAACCCAGTGGAACTGCTCCAGCTCTTACTAGATTTCTCTGGCGAGCTCACTGTGGCTGACCACTCATAAGCTAGGAGAAATGTTACACAACTGGTTTTTGAAATTCCGTTTCCCTACCTTCTCTGTTACCTCATGATCCATTAGAGGGCAGATGGCAGGAGAGGGCACAGTTTTCCTCTTTCATCCCCCAGCACTTGCACAAGGCCTGGTTATACTCAAGGTAATGCATGCAAGGTGGAAGGTTACCCACAATCCCTTGGGCAAATGCAAGCCTACATGATGCAGAAGCTTCCAACAAGCGTGTGGGCTCTGCCACTCACCCTCTATCCTCTCGCACAGCCTGTGCAGGCTCTGGACCGGGCAGCCCTCGCACAGTTGAGCGGGGGCCTTGGAGGTCTGCTGCACTGCAGCCACCGTGAACGCCTGCTTCAGAGTCATCATGATCTCATCCACCTTGGAGAGAAGAGAACATGGGCAGAAATCCACTATCGTCAACGAGCTGAGCAGCTCTGAGGGTTCGGAAGATCTTAGAATTTCAGAGGTTTCTGACTGTTCATCAGAGGTGGACTGGATACAGCTGTGCTAACCGCTAGGGAAATAACCATGCAGATGCTCCAACTTTTTTTTTATTATTTTTATTTTTTTTGTGAGTGTACCATCAGATCAGATCTGACTGGTACAGGAGGAGACTGTCCCTCCTGCCCCGGCAGAGAATCTGGTGGATTCGAACAGTGCGCCTCTGGGATTGTAGTTGCAGCTTCTTGCCACTAGGCCACCAGAGCTCTCCATGCTCCAACATTTTAAAGAAAAGGCCAAAAAATTTTAAAACTGCAACAAATTCTTTGGATAAAACTAAACTCCTCTGCATTTTAAATGCAAAGCCAGAGGGGCTCAAAAATAATAATAATTTTAAAACATATGCCCAAATATTGGTAGCAGGTGTGGCATCCACTTTCTAAACAACATGCCTCCAGAAACTCTATGAACTTTGATAAATGTCGATAATTATAGAAAGGATTCAGGCCTTTTGTTCATAGGGCCACTATGAGTCGTGCTCGACTCGAAGGCAATCAACAACAACAACAACATGTCCAAGTAAGTTCATATGTCTGCTGGCTAGTTTATCATTGTTCCAGTTAAAGACAGCACTTGTCTGTCGGTTTGCTGTACTCGAGGGTTGCTGTGATGCTGAAAGCTGTGCCACTGGTGTGTCAAAAGCCAGAGGGGTCACCCACAGTAGACAGGTGGAACCCTCAGACTCAGACAGACTAGGAAGCAGGGCTGGCCATCCACTTCTGAAATAACAGGCCTCTGAAAACCTTATGAACAAAAGAGGAACACAGGTAGTTATAGTATCAGAGATAGAGCCCAGCCTGAAAGTCAATCAAAATGACACAGTTACTGCAGCAATGGGCTTGCGAGTGTCAGAGATGGTGAGGATGCCACAGGATAGGACAGGGTTCAGATCTTTGTGCAAATGTCCACTGTGAGTGTACTTAATACCTGATTTGACAGCACCTAACAACAAGAACTGGCTAGTGACTGAATCATCATGTAAAAATAGTCAAGGTCAAGTCAGTGAGGCTATGACAGAACAAAAGACAAAAGAATATCAATCAGGTTGAAATTTGCTCTAAGTAAATTTCCAGGTTAAACACACACACACACACACACACACACACACACACACACACACACACTGACTTCCTCTTACCAGAGCTTCATTTGTGCATTGAAACACGTAGCAGACGAAATGGACGCCGCCGCCTCCAGAAGATTCTCGGCAGATAAACCCAAAGTGGTCCACGTGCCTGATACCCTGCGGGAGGGGAGGAAGAGAACACAATCCTGAGATGGGTCTGTAGATTCACACACACCGCCAGTCTTAAAGAGCATAACAGAATTACCATCCCCAGATACCTCCCAGAGGCCACAGAGATTAACATTCCTCGACTGAACTGCTCCTTGGGATGCGCACAACAGTAAAGAGGGGGTAAGATCCAAAGAGTAGAGTTTTAAATACTCTTTCTAATATAAAAGAAAAGAAATGTAGGGTAACACAGAAATGTAGATAACAGAAAAATTCAAACCGTTTTCTTAGGCATGAAAGAGATCAAATTTGGAGAATCAAAGAGATTAATACACACACACGTACATATATAAAGAAAGGTTAAAAATTTAAATATCATTGCATCCTTAATAGTAAACAGATAAACACTTAAAATGGTATGAAGAACAAGCCCAAAGTCACACAGGGGAAAAAAAGTTATACAGAATTAAGTGGGTTTTTGACATAGGATATTAAGACTAAGGCTTTCGCATGGTTACCTATCAGCTCTTCTGAATAAATGTTAATATATAACCTTATTTTAACGACATCAGCAGGTGGAAGTACTGTGATACAAGATAAAGCACAATCCATAAATATAAAACAGCAATGCCTTATGAAAGCCAACAGCACATAGAGAAAAGAATATGGAGGGCCTGATGTTCAGCTATTCAGATCTTGAAGAAATAATAAAGCTATTATGTGAAAAAGAAAGCATTTCACATTCACCTAACATACAGCAACGCATCATCAAAAAATGCTGGCACATAATCGCGAGCTGGGATCAAGAATTTCCCAATAAATTAGTCACTGGCAGATCTTGGCCTCAGAGCCCTCGAGTGATAAATGAGGGTTATGCTAAGCATTACTCCAGGGAATATGCTTTAGAAGTATTCAATCCTTGTTAATGGATGAAGAATGTTCTTCTCCAAACTGGGGAGGAGGGTAGAGAAAACAGTACAACAATGAATGAATGAAAATCCAAAATCTCTGTAAATGTTCACTAAAACTAATAAAATTCAATAATAATTTAAAAAAAAAGAATGTTCTCACATTGTGATGGGGGAAAATGTTATTTTTCAATACTTAAGTAGATCACATTTTATATTAGCAAACGTTGTATCTTATTATTCATTATACCTTACTCATTATGGAAATGAGAAGGTTAGAGTTTAAAAAAAATGTAAAACAGAACTTTGGTTTGTTCTCATATCTGATAGAAAATACCTGAATAAAATTATTTTGGTTAATCATAATTGATCAATTCCTCCAAAATCTAAGTACACCTGGGAGATTATCAAGAAAGATGTTTACAAGTAGGCATTTTCTTCTGAGTAGAGTACCTATGGTGTATATTCAAACAAAACACTTGAACTCTTTGCTGTCGAGCCAGAAGTGATTCATGGCTGACCCTCTCGTGGGTTTTCAGAGGCTGTAAATCGCACGGGGGGAGACTGCCGTCTTTCTCCTGTAGAGTCACCGATGAATGGGAACGTCCAGAGACACCACCTGTGGGTTGGAACCTCAAGTCTCTAATGACGAGGCCACCTGAACTCCCTTGACATGTACTTTCTATTATATTCCCTTGATATGTACTATATATATTTCTCCTCCCTCCCCCTCATTACAAAAAAAAATGTGGCTGGTTGTTCCTTCTCTGTCCTCAGGTATCCTTCATGATCCCGCAGACAGTTCCTTCTGGAATAAGCTCTCCTCTTTCCCTCCAGCCAGCCCCAGTGGGTCCACCTTCTTAGGTTCTGGGGCCAGGACAGGTAGTAAGACATGTGATCATTGGGACATATATTTTTAAGAGAAAGAAATAATGATAAAGAATACCCCAAAAGTTAGAAATTTTTGTAACGTAGAAATCAGTATCTTTTTAAAGAAAGATCTATGTATGTTTTTTTAAAAATTATACATATCTATATCTATCTATCTATATCTATATCACCTATATATCCCCAAACAGATAATGCATTCCAAGGAACAATGAACCGCACTATATGTATATGGTGTACGGTAATCTGTACTACAAACAATGTTGCAGCACCTGATTTGCTGACTCTCGGATATTCATGCACAGATATACAATTTCATCATGCTTAAAATACTTTCAATACTATTAATGTTTAAAATACTACTATGCATAAAGACATTACTAATAAAAGGAAATAATGAAAAAAATTAGGTCACCAACTGAGGTCACAATGAAGTCATTGAGATGGAACCAACCCACTGATCAATTGGAAATTACTTGCATATAAACATAACACACACACACACACACACACACCCTCCTCTGAAATCATGGCTGCTGCCAGCCATTATTACCAGTAACGGCAAAAAAAGTAAGAAAATCCCCTTTTATGGTAGGTTATTGACACTTAGAGCAGAACAGTTACTTTTAAAAAGTCTATTAAAACCTAACCCAGGGTTTAATCCCTGGATTACTAATGAATTCTGTATCTAAAGGTCTTTAAGTAGAATTTATATTTCAATTGCAACACTTAAGTACAGTTCCTAGCTAACGGCCGTCAAATGTTTGTCCTAGTATGTACTTTCTATGCATAAAAAAATTAAAACGCAAGTATACTAAAACATTTTACCATAACACAGTAATAAAATAAAACTTCTTTTAATGCAAGTTGCAATGTAATGTCTGTTTATTAAAAATGTCAAACTTCTAGCATAACGGGCTTTGCGGGCATTGGAAAGATGAACATAAACGTGGTCAAGACTCTGCCTGAATAAGCGTCCCGAGGCACGTGGTGGTAGCAGGCTGACGGGGCTGACTCACGACCACAGGTGGCTCCTGAGTCTGACTTCAATACCTGGATGTGATCTGCGACCTTCAGTACATGGATGTGGTCTGCACACCGAAGCACAGAGCAAGAATACGCAGACCTCAAATGAACGCATAGAAAACATACACCTTGTAATCCACTGTACTATTCCTGACAGATTTTGAAAAGAAATCATTTTCAAATCTCACTGCGATTGAACCACAGCGCATTTCCATTTACCTGAGAGCAAAAAGATATCTCCTTAAAATTTTTCTCAAATGCTACTTTTTTGGTGTCGGGGCTGATGAGGTAAACTTCGGACTGGCCAATCTTAAAGAAAAGAAAAAGAAACAAGCTTAATATGAAAGTGTAACTGACATTTGTCTTACCAATGTCTCTTCTTTCATGATCTTTATATAAAGCACAAAGGTACACATTTCTACAAAATTCTGACTTCTCATTGTAGGAAATGACTCCAAAGGTGCAGTAAAGAACTATCATTCAATGCCCCTAGATGAGACCTAAGTTTTCTTTGAGATAAAAGGACCAAATATCCACAAAGAAGCAATAAAGCCTCTGACTGAATACCCTCTCTATACAGAAATGAAGTTTCTACATAAGTGAATCTTCCAGAAAACTGAAGCTTCTTTTTTAAAATTTTGAGAATGTTTTGTGTGATTTATTTATTTACTGTGGAATCCTTGCTGTTGTGTGCCATCAAGCTAGAAGTGACCCATAGCTGACCCTTCGGCAGGTTTTCAAAGGCATAATCCCATGACAGGAGATTTTTCATCCATACCTCTCCCTTGGAGCAGCTGGTGGATTCAAACTGCATGCCTTTGGGATTGCAGAGCAGCTTCTCACCTCTAGGCCACCAGAACTCCCTTGGAGTCCCTAACTGGTACAGAGTTGACAGGTAACATGTTCTGGTGCTAACTGAAAGGATGGTGACTCAACTTCACCCAGGGGTGCCTCAGAAGAGCTGGTAATCCATATCTGGGAACAAAACCAGCCCTTGAAAACCCTAGGGAATATAGCTCCACTCTGACTCGGTGGGTCACCATGAGTTAGAATCAACAGGCTTTTACTATCTAGATTAAAGCCTTCTAAATGTACTGTTAAGATAATTTACCATCTGTAGACTACACACTATGTGTTACATATTTATATATATCACCTTTTTAAAGTTTTTACATTGTTATGTGCTGTCAAGTTATTTGTACTCATAGCAAACCTACTTATAACAGCTCTGAACCCTGCCCAATCCTGAGCCAACTTATCTCAACACACCCACCCCCAGTACCCCAGTCACTGAACCAATCCATCTCTTCAAGGGTCTTCCTCTCCCGCACTGTCCCTCCACTCTCCCAAGCATAATGTCCCTCCTCTTCAAGGACTGTTCCCTCCCTGCAACATACCCAAAGTATGTCAGGCAAAGCCTCAGAATCTTTGCCTCCGAAGAGCAGCCTGGTTTTACCCTCTCTAGGATGAACTTGTTTGTGGTCCATGGTATATTCAATACTCTTCTCCAGCACCCCAACTCAAAGGCATCAATTCTCCTCCTATCATCCTTAGTCATTGCCCAGCTTTCTGTTACATAGCAAGTAACTGCCAAGACCATGGCCTGGATCAGGTGCACCTTAGTCTCCAGACTGATATCCTTGCTCTTCATTATTTGGAGAGGTTCCTGACAGCAGACTTTTTCACTTTAGCATAAATAAAAACTGCTGCACTGCTCTGGGAACAGGTATCTACGAGTGTAGTATAGTACGCTGAGATACCTATTCACTCCCCATTGGCCTGTAGGGAGCTTCCTCTGGGGGCCCCATGCCTCCCATGGCTACATTTCATGAACTTTCCTGTGTGTTTAATAGTCTTCACTTTCCCTCGGGATAAAGAAGTTGGTGGTCACATCCTGATGCCATTGCTGCAAGTCACCTCCCTCCCTGTAAACTCTCTAGACTTTAATGCAAACTACAAATCAGATATACAAGCTTGTCAGAAACAAGGCTTGTAATCAGACTCTGAAGAAAGATCCAGTTGAGACTGAAAAGCAGGTACTCAACTTAGTCTTGTCATTCCACAAAGTCTAAGTATGCGGAAGAGCTAATTCATTTTTATCATCTTTCTGAATTCGGCTCAACTGTCTCTCTCCAGAGTAGCAGCCCACAGATTCTCTGCCTTGCCTAGGACAACACAGAGTAAAGACAGAAAAACTCAGGAATGAACCAGTCTTGTCTCTGGCTGTCTTCAGTCTCTTTAGAGGTCAAAAAAGACACGTATACACAATGAAGATAATCTGTTCTTAAAAAGCTTTAAAAAGCTCACAACTGAGCAAAATACAATGAAATGGGATAAAAGAATGCCAACTGCCTCACTGATAAGATTATTTCTCTGTGCCAAGTGAACCTTTCAGAGACAGTGAGGAAATATGAACTCAGGAAAATCTGGGGAGAAAGTATAACTAACAAAATGAAACATAAAACACTATGGCTCCAGTGTTTCTCCCTGGCTCCCCGCTCCATCTCTTTAACATCTTCTCACCTATTGTTCCCCGCACCTGGGAGACCCTCTCTCAGCTGACTACATCCAAGCCCCTGCTCAGTCAAAATCACTTTAGGGAAGCTTCCTCTGATGCTGTTCCTGGAGGATCCTCTGCTTCTCCTTTGGAGCTTTCATCCCAACTGCAATTAGTTAGTTCCTTGAGCCACTAATTGCCTGACATCTATCTCCTTTAAAGCTCGATGCTGTTGAATCAAGTCCGACTCACAGTGACCCGAGGTGTGCCAGAGTCGAGCTGTGCTCCACAGAGTTTTCAAAGGTTGATTTTCAAAAGCATGCTGCCAGGCCTTTCTTCCAAGGCACAGCTAAGCAGGTAAACTAGTTGCACCTCTGAGGGACTCCCTGGAAGCTAAAGCCCAGATAAACAGCCTTGCTCACTGCTGTGTTTCTGACATAATCTACAGGACCTTACAAATAGTGGTTATTTGCAGAGTTCTCTGGTAAACAGTGACAGAAGTTTGTAAAGAGAGATCTCTGAAACACAGTCTGACTGTGGATGGGGCACTCTACAATATATTAGGTCAATGATGAAAAGAGAAAAAATATATAAAGCAGCCCTTTTGACCTATGTCATCCTCTTGATTTTAAACCTGAATGTATCACACTATACTAATTTTAGCAGCCAATTTCCTTTTTATCCTTTTCTTTTTTTATTGTGTGTTTCTGTGTGTGCATGTACCATCAACTTGGATCTGACAGGTACAGGAGATTGCCTCTCCTTCTCCATCAGAGCATATGGTAGATTCAAACCGCATGCCTTCAGAATTACAGTGCAGCTTCTTGCCACTAGGCCACCAGAGCTCCCTAGCCAGCTTCTTTAGATCCATCCACAAGACAATATATTTAAGATGGTCTCACTCTCTCTAGAATAAGGAGCCCTGGTGGTGTAGTAGTTTAAGTGATGGGCTGCTAAAAAGGTTAGTGGTTTGAAGGTTAGTGCTAAAGGTTAGTGGTTTGAATCCACCAGCCGCTCTGAGGGAGAACGCCCAAGCAGTTTCCTCCCATTAAGCTGCCTCAGAAGCCCAGTGCAAGGTTGTCACAAGCTGGAATTCACAATAGTGGGTTGGTGTTTTGGTTAGGTTAGGTTAGATTAGTTAGGTTAGGTTTTAGAGATTCAAGGTAGGAATTAAGTCAAAGAAGAAACGTAAAAGTCAAGGAATAATCCATTCCTATATCGTCAGAGGTCAGCACTGAGTCCCATCAGCTCTGATTACTTCACTCTGACCCAAGGGGTCCTGAGAGATGGCAGGATCCATCCATACAGCCCCATCTGCCTAAAACCCAGGAACCCCAAACTCCACAGTCAGTTCCCTAGTCCAATCCTTTCAAGCATTTTCTGTCACATCATCAATTTTCCTCCCCTAGGGGAAAAAAGTAAGCAGTGGGCTTAACTTAATATATTTCCATTTGAGTACAAAGGTCAAATAACAAGCTATCTAATCATCATGACCATTTATTCTGATTAACAATGAGTGTAAGTTTCATAAGCCACACCTCCCCAGAAGACTCTGTTGAAATGCACAGGCACACCTCATGTTCTATTGTGTTTCGCTTCATGTACTTGGCACAATGTTTTTTACAATGCAGGTTTGCCAAAACAAAGCAAATCTTTGGTGATCAAGTTTATCAGCTGCCGTGTTTACCACAGCACACGCTCGCTCGCTGTGTCTCTGGGTCATACCTTGGTTATTTGCACTGTATTTCAACTTTTTTCATAATGTTATTATACACTCAAGAGATTACAGTATAAGCATAACTTTTATATGTGCTAGAAAACCAAAAATGGTTTGTGTCAACTTGCTTTATGATGATCTTTGCTTTATTGCAGTGGTCTGGAATCGAACACACATTAGCTCCCACTACACTTAGATTACTTGAAATTTAAAAACATTTAAAATAAAATCCTTTTTGTGGCTTCTGTCAAGTGTTTTAAGACATTGTTCACCCCACTGACAAAAGTGTCCTTAACACTATGGAGGTTGTTGTTAGATGTCATCAAGTCGGAACCTACTTCAGAGGCTGTAAATGACACGGGAGATTGTCCACCTCTCTCCCTCAGAACAGACAGTAGATAAAAACCCAGCGCTTTTGGGTGGACAGCGTAACTCCTTACCACTAGGCCACCAGAGCTATAAGACAGAATCCCTTGATATTATCTCCTTATTCTCCAATGATTTTTAAAGATCCTAACTGGAGTAAGGATTTTATCTTGACAAGAAAATATATGGATTCACATGTAACTGCCCAAAATCATTTACAAGAAATCGTTGCTCAACAGAATACTTCTTTTGTGCATATATGACAAGCTCACGACAAGCTCAGGGGTCAGTATTATTTTACCGTAAAGAGCATAGTTCGATTTTCCTCGATATCTGTTGGCTGCACAATATTGTTTCCACCAATTAGGTGGTTCTCAATGTCATTTTCCTCAAAGGAGCTGAAAAAGCTACTACTCCGCAGGCTTCCCTCGTGGAAGTCCTTCCTGAAGGCCAAGGAGCTCAGGCCCGGCTGTGAGAAGGACTTCCTCATGGGCCTGCGGCCCTTCTCCTCCGGGCCTGCGGGTGGGAACGCGGCTCGGAACCGGTCCGTTAGGGAGAATCCCCCCGCAGTATTTGTGGGTTCCGATTTCTGGGAGAACAAGTCAAATTCTGCCTTCCTGCTGCCGCTGATGTGGTTGAACTTCTCGATGCATTCGTCGATCAGCGCCGGAGGGGCCTTCTTGTGGGCCACCGTCACCCGGCCACAGAAGAGCACCTCGAACTTCTTGGAAAACGTGTCATCAAACTCGGACGGGCAGTTGAGCTCCTCCTGGCGGGCGATCTTACCGGCCTGGCGGATGGAGCTGATGATCTCAGGCACCTGCCGAGACACAAGAGAGGAAAGAAGGGTGTTATTAGAGCAAACTACGGCTGACTTTTACACATCAAACATAAGGAACAAACATATTCCACTACATTCCCAATGCCCAAGACTAAAGTCTCCATAGTCAACATCCATGAAAACAGCAGTCAAGACATCAAACACTGACTTGCCTTGGACAAACTGGTACCAGAGAGATCTCTAAAGTACAAAGGAGCAAGGAGGTCACTTTAAAGACTAAGGTGCACCTGATTCGGGCCATGGTATTTTCACTTGCTTCATCTGTACGGTAATGCTGGACTGCAGCAACCTGGCAGGAGAGGCTGAACCTAACTTCCACTTTACAGGTGAGGAGACAGAGGCTCAAGGAAGCCGTTTCCACTGCCAAGACACATGCCAAGCAAAGGCAAGAATGAGGGCACATCTCCTGCTTCCCTCCTCCTGGCAGCAGCATATGGGCTCTGGGGGAAAGGTCCTTGTCCTCAGTATGTGCTTGACTGCTAGGGATGGTTGTCCCATCACAGCCAACTCTCTTCCTTCAAAGTCCACTGGACCATGCTGGTGGTCCAGAGGGAAGACACCAGACTGAAAGCCCAGGAGAAGGCACTGACCGGCTAACTGCCCTTGGGCAAATGACACAGCTGTGCGTCTCAGCTTTCTTACTGTAGAAATATGGACTGAACTAGAATGGGGGCTTCCACACCCAGATGGTGATGATACAGCAGGATTACAGAGTGTCACCGAGTTGTACACAGGGCCACTTATGAGAAGGAGCCAACTTGGCAATCAAGAATCATACTTTAGAATCAGATCCTTGTCTTCCCCCAAATGAATCCTACTCCAAATCTACACTAAAAACAGAGCACATGAAGTCATTTCAGATGAATGAGAATGGAGGGCTGGCAGGGTCAGCTGACTGGCAAATCACCATCCACCTCCTGAGGTCTCTCTCTAGGACCGAAGATGCCGCAGTCCACCATCTGAAAACCATCAAATTTCCCAGCCCCCTTAAGGGGCTTCATTCTCCAAATGGACATGAAGGGACAAAAATTCTCAAGGCCTAAGCTAGTTTTTTTTATTTTTATTATCAGTTTTTGTGTGTGTACTGTCAAATCAGATCTGACTGGTACAGGAGGACATTGCTCCTCCTTCTCCAGCAGAGCATCTGGTGGATTTGAACCACATACCTCTGGGATTGCAGTGCAGCTTCTTGGCTAGGCCTCTTCTTATCTCATTCCACATGTTTAGTCTCCATCAAAATGCCATCAACCCCCTTATTTTCAACCCAAGCTACACTAATCCCCTAGCCAGTACCTGCCCTCCTGCTATCTGCATTAGCGATCTACTACTGCATAACAAATTAGCACACAATTTAGCAGCTTAAAAATCTGCATAAAAACAAAATAAAAGGAGTTGAACAGTAAATAAGGAAGTCAGTAGAATAGATATCTTTCAATTGTCACGTTGTAAGAGTATCGAATGTCTCAGAGACTACCAAAAGAACAAACAGATCTGTCCTAGAGGAAGGGCAACCAGGGTGCTCCTTAGAGGCAAAGAGGTGAGATTTCATCTCATATATTTCTAGCATGTTCACAGGGAGGGGGGCCAGTCTCTGGAAAAAGGCATTAGGCTTGGAAAAGCAGAGGTTCAATAAATGAAAAGAAGACCCTCAAGGAGGTGCATGAACAACTAGTGAAATAATGGGCTTAAAAGACAACACTATAAAGCTAGTGCAGCATCAGGTGGGACTTGGTTCTATCGTACGCAGGGCCACTATGTTGGGGCCCACCTGGACTGCAAATAACAACAAAAAACTGAAGGGGGACCTCCCACAGAGAGACAGAAATTGTAACTCCCATAGAGAGGCAGTGACATGCTAAACATGTGTGTGTGTGTGTGTGTGTATACATATATAGCTCTTACAAAGGGAAGAAGAACCCATTTGAACATTGTTAGACTAGGAAGAAACACGTGGCAATTTGCTTTCAAAACTCAGTCTATGAAGATCCTGTGGATTACAACAATTGAAAGTATTTTATTCTGTTGTGTGTGGGTTCACCAAAAGTTAGTGCCCTAATTTAAAGACAGCCAATAGCAATAACAGTATGTGCCAGGGCTGCGCTGGAGGATTTACAGCCCTACCACACTCTGAAAATTCAGTCACAAGCCCAAGGAGGCAAGTTCACACTGGTCCCACTAAATGTCAAAAGTCCACTCTGGATGTGTGAGGCATCACATTCCGAAGTCTTTCTACCCAGTTGTGGCTCACCAAAGCATTATTCAATTATCCTGGATCCCATGAACGTTTTCTAGGGAGCTCTGGAGACCTAGTGGCAAGAAGCTGCGCTGCAATCCCGAAGGCATGCAGTTCGAGGTCACCAGCTACTCTGCAGGAGAAGTAAGGGCTCTCCTCCCAAGTGATTAACTTCCCCTGGAAACCCGCTGGAGGGGCAGCTATGGGTCGGTTCCCACTCTACAGTACACAACAACAACATGGAAATTTTTTAGTTCCCTGGAGAAACTTCCACATTAAATGGGGGAGTAAGGGGGTAAGCTGACAAGCCAATGACTCTGAAGGAAATCAGAAAAACATATTCAAATCATCACAGCATAATTTTCTTTGATAACAACTGGCAATGTATTACTTAGTGCTACATTTTCTGATCATTACAGGGAAAAAAATGGGCAATTTAAATGAAGGACTAAGCAACCCAGGACTAGGGTCATTATCATAACAACACACTGGGTGTCACCCCACAGAGAATACAGACAGCTTTGGTTTCTCATGTGAACTCATGATTAAGACAACGGGCTACAGGGCCTCATCTGTGATGGTGTCGTTCCTACTGCCAAGTCCTCTCATCACGGACTTCTGACAAAATCCTTCAAAGCAGCTGCAGACATAAAGACGAGCCCGTAACTCTAATGAGTAAACATGTACATACAAAGAGGAATCCACACCTGTAATGAGAAAACATCTGTGCAATAGAGGAGATGGCGGACAGCTGCCCGGCTGCATGTAATATGCATGGCCGCTGAAACAAGACAGGCATGGGTGTTATCTTCAAAAGGCACACAGCTTGCTTTTTTTAAGTTTTGCTTTTTCTTTAAATTGTAAAATTCTGATTCAACCACAACCTTATGAGACGGGAAGCTTTACAATTGTGCTCACCACCCACCTCCAAACTATGGTTCAGTCAAGTGAAAGTTTACAGAACAAATTGGTTTTCCATTCAATTCTTCATACATATTTTATATTAATCACAATACCCAAGTTGTAACTGGTATTGTACTGATCACCCCTTCAATATTTGAGTGTGCTTCACTTTTCTTAAAAGAACTGTCTAGTTTTTTTATACAACCTAACACTTAAACCATTTCCTCCTTGTTTAAAAAAAAAAAAGAAAAGAAAATGCAATCTCAGGCCCAACATTCAAGGTCCGACTGTCTCTTTAACAACATTATGTTTTTATTTGTTGTGTACCATCAAGGCAGAATTGACCCATAGTTGATGCTCTGGTAGGTTTTTGTTGTTGTTGTTGAAGCCTGAAGCCCTTCTATAACTATTGTCATTTATCAAAGTTCCTAGAGTTTCCAGAGGAATGCCATTTAGGAAGTGGATGCCACTCCTGCTTCCAAACCTGTCTTAAACTGGAAGCTCCACCAAATCTATCCACCATGTGTAACCATTATGGCATTTGACACCCCAGTGGCACGAGGTTCAGCATCACAGCAACCCCAGGTTACCTCAGTACAGCCTACTGACAGGAGAGTGTTGGACCACTCGAAGTTTTTAGAGTCAGGTAATCGCAAAGGGGGACACTGCCTAGCCTTTTCCCTCGGAGCTGGTAGTGGATTTAAACCACGTGCCTTTGGGGTTGCAACACAGCTTCTTACTATTTGGCCACAAGAGAGCT